CACACACACTAAGACTTACACAAATGACATACACACTAAGACATACACACGAAGACATACACACTAAGTAATACATACTAAGACATACACACTAAGAGATGCACAGTAGACATAAACACTAGACATACACACTAAGACGTACACGCTAAAAGGCACACACTTAGACAGACATAAATACGAAGACATACGCACTAAAACACACACACACTCGACATATACAATTAGACATGCACACTAAGACATCCACACTAGACATACACAGTTAGACATAGGCACTTAGACATATGCACTAAACAATAACACAAGCCATACACACTAAGACATACACACATCATTTACACACTCGACCTACGTCCACCAACGACACGCCGTACATGAATACAAAGCTGTACATTTGATCCATAATTAACTACCGCCGAGGAACTTCGTCCGTAAAGAATGGATTCCCTGTTCATTAAAAAAAAAAAAAAACAACAAAAAACAGGGTTATAAAATCAATAGACACCGTAGTGAGGATTCAGTCTTTTATTTAATTTCATGTGTTATTAATAGGATCAAAGTGATTTACCTGGTCCATTCAGAGCAAGAAATGCCACCAGAGATGGTAAACACAGGGATGACGAGTCATCATCAAGGAGGGAGATCTCAGTGTGAGAATCGGCATTTATTTATTACTGAGTCAAGTCAAGCAAACTTTGTAACAACTTGCGATAACAACAATATTATAAACAACGACAATAGTCTGCTTTTAATCTTGTCTTATGCACATACAAGAATAGTACAATGTCACTGTGTTACGCTATGTTCAATAGCGCGGACAGTAAAATTCCCTAAAGTTTACCAAATGACGTGCATAATTGTGTTTTATATGTATGTAAAAAAAAAAACACAAAAAAACTTCGTTTACTTTTCCAAAAAGAAATGTGTTTCTTAAAAGCAATAATTAGTGAATTTTTTAATCTGATAAAATAAATGTGCTTATATTTGTATGAATTTATGTGTATTAATATCATTAATAAGAAATTTTTTTTTTTAAATTGGGCAAACCGAAAATTAGTTTATAGAAGGTTTAAAACTAATGAAATAATTGATTTGTCCTTCTTGGGAGAGGAAAGAGATGTTTACATTTTTAAGTGGATGACTAAATTATTAAATCTGATGATAATCCAGTCGTGAAAAAGAAACGTTTTCTTTTAAAATCAATAAATATGTGTTTTACCAATTTGGATAAATACTGTTCAAGGCCATTGACACATAGTGGAAAAGTTAACTCAAAACTCAATGCAAGGCGTGAACAATGATAGGTTGAGTTTTAAAAAAAAAAATAATAAACAGAAAAATTATTTCAATTTAGCACAAAATACAGTTCGTGGAAAAGTGAGAGGACATAATTTATGAGACTAATACCATTACTAAAAAATGCAATGCTCTTAGACACGTGAAATATGGCTAAGAAGTCTCGGCACAGAAGACTAACATCATTACCGAGTATGAAAATATCTTACAGGGGAATGTAATATATTGAGTGCCCTTTTTCAAACATCATCTCATTGTCATGTAAATGGTTTTGCTGTAATCAAAAGAAATCAACAAAGCTATTTTAGACAAATTGTTCAACTAATTTCATGATTTTTTTCAGAGGGAAAAAATAAATGTATCTCTATCTATTTCTAAAACAACGCATCTAAGGTTGTTTCGTGAAGACTTAGACTTTCACAAGGAAACCACGAATTACAATTTAATGAAAAGGTATTATTGATTCTACAAGACAAAGAAGAGCAGCCTCATTTAGGCTTCTTGATGTCCTTATGTAAGTACCCACAAATACATATATATTTTTTTTAATTTCTCAAAAATGTTTAGTAATACATTTTGGCTTTGTGCCAGATTTTTTTTTTTGGTGTGGGTGTCTGTTTGGGGGGGGGGGGTGGGTGATTGATATTTTTAGACAAAGCTTTATTGCGTCCCCATCTCAGGTTAAGTCGGAGGTTTGGGTCTTCCCGAATATTGGAATTTTTTACAAAGCGATTCGCAGTAACATTGACAAGGCAGTGGTGGAACTACACATGACAGTTGTGAAAACACAATCAAGATGACAACAGCAGAGTTTGAGCAACAAATATAATCAAATTTTTGACATCTGAAATCATGAGTTCCAGTGCTGACGCCCGAAGTTATTGTTAAGAAGAAATTAAAATGAGATCGGTCCTATTATTTGGTACCAGTCTTATTAAAAGGTAACAGTCGTATCATAAGGTGACAGTCGGATTATATGGTTAACAGTGGTATTATAAGGTGACAGTCGTATTATAAGGTAACAGTCGTATTATAAAGTAACAGTCGTATTATATGTTTAACAGTCGTGTTATAAGGTGACAGTCGGATTATAAGGTAACAGTCGTATTATAAAGTAACAGTCGTATTATATGGTTAACAGTGGTATTATAAGGTGACAGTCGGACTATATGGTTAACAGTGATATTATAAGGTGACACGTCGGACTATATGGTTAACAGTGATATTATAAGGTGACACGTCGGACTATATGGTTAACAGTGGTATTATAAGGTGACAGTCGGACTATATGGTTAACAGTGATATTATAAGGTGACACGTCGGACTATATGGTTAACAGTGGTATTATAAGGTGACAGTCGGACTATATGGTTAACAGTGGTATTATAAGGTGACAGTCGGACTATATGGTTAACAGTGGTATTATAAGGTGACAGTCGGACTATATGGTTAACAGTGGTATTATAAGCTGACAGTCGGACTATATGGTTAACAGTGGTATTATAAGGTGACAGTCGGACTATATGGTTAACAGTGGTATTATAAGCTGACAGTCGGACTATATGGTTAACAGTGGTATTATAAGCTGACAGTCGGACTATATGGTTAACAGTGGTATTATAAGCTGACAGTCGGACTATATGGTTAACAGTGGTATTATAAGCTGACAGTCGGACTATATGGTTAACAGTGGTATTATAAGCTGACAGTCGGACTATATGGTTAACAGTGGTATTATAAGCTGACAGTCGGACTATATGGTTAACAGTGGTATTATAAGCTGACAGTCGGACTATATGGTTAACAGTGGTATTATAAGCTGACAGTCGGACTATATGGTTAACAGTGGTATTATAAGCTGACAGTCGGACTATATGGTTAACAGTGGTATTATAAGCTGACAGTCGGACTATATGGTTAACAGTGGTATTATAAGCTGACAGTCGGACTATATGGTTAACAGTGGTATTATAAGCTGACAGTCGGACTATATGGTTAACAGTGGTATTATAAGCTGACAGTCGGACTATATGGTTAACAGTGGTATTATAAGCTGACAGTCGGACTATATGGTTAACAGTGGTATTATAAGCTGACAGTCGGACTATATGGTTAACAGTGGTATTATAAGCTGACAGTCGGACTATATGGTTAACAGTGGTATTATAAGCTGACAGTCGGACTATATGGTTAACAGTGGTATTATAAGCTGACAGTCGGACTATATGGTTAACAGTGGTATTATAAGCTGACAGTCGGACTATATGGTTAACAGTGGTATTATAAGCTGACAGTCGGACTATATGGTTAACAGTGGTATTATAAGCTGACAGTCGGACTATATGGTTAACAGTGGTATTATAAGCTGACAGTCGGACTATATGGTTAACAGTGGTATTATAAGCTGACAGTCGGACTATATGGTTAACAGTGGTATTATAAGCTGACAGTCGGACTATATGGTTAACAGTGGTATTATAAGGTGACAGTCGGACTATATGGTTAACAGTGGTATTATAAGCTGACAGTCGGACTATAAGGTTAACAGTGGTATTATAAGCTGACAGTCGGACTATATGGTTAACAGTGGTATTATAAGGTGACAGTCGGACTATATGGTTAACAGTGGTATTATAAGCTGACAGTCGGACCATATGGTTAACAGTGGTATTATAAGCTGACAGTCGGACTATATGGTTAACAGTGGTATTATAAGCTGACAGTCGGACTATAAGGTTAACAGTGGTATTATAAGCTGACAGTCGGACTATATGGTTAACAATGGTATTATAAGGTGACAGTCGGACTATGTGGTTAACAGTGGTATTATAAGCTGACAGTCGGACTATATGGTTAACAGTGGTATTATAAGGTGACAGTCGGACTATATGGTTAACAGTGGTATTATAAGGTGACAGTCGGACTATAAGGTAATTACATTCCAGGAATCTTGTAGAAGGGCATGAATACGTTCATGCATAAATCCATCACTTATAAATACAAGCAACATCAAAGGACCACTGGGAACTGCTTGTGTTTGAGTCATGTTAAGTTAGCGTTGTGGTGAAAGGTGGTCCAAAGGGAAGTGCGCTGTCAAGAGTTTAAATGACAGTGGACAGTTTGAAAGCTTCGGTTCCTTTTCTTCAAAGCATTTTAGACAATGTTCCTTTTCTTCAAAGCATTTTAGACAATAGTTTTAAAGATGGAGACAGCTGTGTGGAAGTGTTTAACGTAGTTTGTTTCTAACAGGTGACTACCACTCGCAGGCAAACCACAAGACATGACATTGTCTCTACATTAAACTTACAGGCACGACAAGACTTAACGTAAGAAGCTAAGATCCAGTGAGTCAAACTTTAAACCTTCTGCACAATCATTGTTATTTCTGTGAGCCTCCTGGGGATTGTCATCTAAGGTGATTGTGGGTTTTTAAAGGCTGCCCCCTTCACCAAAAAAACAAAACCAACCAACAACAACATGTTTGAACAGACTCGGTTCCAAAGTTCCACTGCGCACTCGAGGATTTTTTAAACACTTCCTATCGGCGAAGATGAATTATGCTGACTGTATCGTGTATCCCAGCATGAATAGAGACATATTTGAGGACATAGTCATAAGTGACTCACGTCCTCGCTGGACCTGGTTATCGTATACTTTGTGATTGTCGTTTCGTGGGCCCTGTACTTCTGTCGGGCCTGGGGCAACCTCTTACACATGAGTATGCTGAAGAAATGAGCGCGGAACCGCTGGGCACTGAAAAAGTACAGGAAAAAATTAACGGCGTGTGACGAGTCTGACAGCACGTGCTGTATCTGACTGAAGAGCTCCCATTTTGCTCTCTTGAGATCATCATTCGAATCAGAGTACATCAAGACGTAAATACAGCCGGGTAGCGAGAGTATCAAGAAGATGACGGCCGCTAAGATGAGCATGATGGTGATGTTTCTCTCAAGGCGCTCCGCCTCCTCCATCAGTCTCCTGTTCCCGTCTTTCGCCTTGGAGCTGCTCCGCATGATGCTACGACGGTCGCTTCTGGAGACGGCCAGGCCGCGAATGATGAAGGCGGTGAGGACGACGATGCAGGGGAACGGGAGGAAAAGGAACAGGAACGCGTTTATCCAATACCACCAATTTTTCCAGAAGACCAGGTACTCGTCAAAGGTGCCGCAGTGAAGTCCCGATACGTCCTGGTCTCTCATGACGCCGTACAGCAGCGACCACATGACGAGGAGGACAACCGATAAAACTCCCGCGCAGATGTAGCTCCGCCGTTTGGTGACGATGTAGGTTTTCTTCAGCGGGAAACACACCGAGATGAACCGTTCGGCGCAGATGAGCACGAGGACCCAGTTCGCCAGTGTCGAGAAGAACAAAGGCAGGAAGGCCATCTTGCAGCCGACCGACCCCAAGTGCATGCCGTGTTTGAAGATCTGGTGGTAGACGAGCTTCACGACCAGGGTGCAGCCGTCGCAGAAAGCCAAGAGCGAGACGAAGAAGGTCGCCGGCGTCACGTTCTGCATCGTCAACACGGTGATGATGCAGAAAATATTTCCGGGAAACCCCAGAGCGAACACAACCCAAATGTACGTGCTACGTATGTTCTCTACGGCATTGTTGAGGCGTTGGATTTCTTCGTCTCTGTGGATTTAAAAAAAAAATTGTTTTAAAAGATTTGCATTGTATCTTTACTAGATCAGTAACGGAAAATTGTCTAAAATACGTACTTTATAAAGTAAAATCAAATAGTTTGGGTGAGAACATGGGTGCCCAAAGTATGGCCCAGGGCGTAGGGGTAAGCCCGAGACGCCATTATTTTATTTTTTATATCACACGCTAGGAGAGAATGCACTTTTATTATGTTTAAAATTCATTTCTACACGCTTTTATCAGGAAAGTGATCGCATAAATTCGCATATGGATGCTGTTTAAAGGCATCTGCAGTGACGCCTCACCTAGACTTTAGAACCATTTACGTTTGTAAACCATTAAGATCAATTACTTATGGGATTCTTATACCCAATTTTTTTTTTTCAAATCAACAGCCGCCCAAAAGACTAGCGAAAATACACATGCTTCACTACGGGGGGGGGGGGGGGGGATTTACTTTACAAAATGTGTATATGTGAGTGCTTATTAATCGTCATTAAATTGAGTAAGTGGTAGACCATAAGAAGGAAACAACTAAGAACGATGTGGAAATTTTTATTTTTAGGTGGCGGTAGAGTCAATGGTATATTGATGGTCTCAAGTCGCCTGTAATGTTTTTTAAAGAAATGATGGCACACACGGTTTCATCGCATTTCAGATGCTGTCATCTACATTTTACTGTGAAATCTTGTTGAAATTCGAAATTCGTTGCTGTTTCATTTTGTTTTTACTTTTACCACGCAACATGCTCTATGGCGGTGGTTCTTAACCTGGGTTCGATCGAACCCCAGGGGTTCGGTGAGTCAGTCTCAGGGGTTCGGCGGAGGTCCAAAAAAAATCAGAAAAAAAACATGTTTTATTTTTCCTAATAAGACGGGTTCGGTGAATGCGCATAAGAAACTGGTGGGGGTTAAGTTCCGTGATATATCTCATTTATCCCCAAACAGTCTTTCAGTAATTTTCGTTTCCAGGCCCGTGACTAACAGATCATACCGCCATTCACAAAACCCTCCACCCCAACCTCAAAGCAGATATCTTCTATTTTCTTAATTCTCTTCTAAACCTCTGTTTAAAAAAAGCAACAACCCCCCCCCCAACAACAACCAACAAAAAAACAACAACAAATATCATACCGCCCTTCACAAAACCCTCCACCCCAACCTCAAAGCAGATATCTTCTATTTTCCTAATTCTCTTCCAAACCCCTGTTAAAAAAAAACAACAACCCCCCCCCCCAACAACAAACAACAAAAAAACAACAACAAAACACCCGCTCTATTCAGTTTCCACCATCCTTCCACCCTCCACTAAAACACTGTCCCATCATTCCATCATCCACTAATACGTGGTCCCATCCTTCCATCATCCACTAAAACACTGTCCCATCCTTCCACCATCCAACCTCCACTAAAACACTGTCCTATTTTTCCAACCTCCTCTAAAACACTGCCCCATGCTTCCACCCTCCACTAAAAACACTGTCCCATCCTTCCACCCTCTACTAAAACACTGATCCATCCTTCCACCCTCCACTAAAACACTGACCCATCCTTCCACCCTCCACAAAAACACTGACCCATCCTTCCACCCTCCACTAAAACACTGACCCATCCTTCCACCCTCCACTAAAACACTGACCGATCCTTCCACCCACCACTAAAAAACTGACCCATCCTTCCACCCTTCATCCTCAATAAAACACTGCCACATCCCACATAAACTACAATCATAGTTGTTCTTACTCCATCCCGACTATATCACAACATATTATTTTACGACATGCCAGAATCATTTCATATGTAGCCTCGTACGTGCAAGTCTTGGTGTTCTATTATTTCAAAGTATTTACATTATTTAAACCTATTCCTACTATCTTCTTATTTTTCTCCTGTCCAACATTTCCATCAAGTCTTTAATCCCAAACTCATTCATCTCTTTTACCTCACCGCCACAGATATCACCCTTTGTGTCAGATCGTTACATCCCTCCCCAATCAATATCTTAGAGCTACGCGCAAAAAAAACCGGATGCATCTTCCCCACTATCCCATCTCCCTAACTCTAACCGGCTTCCACTCCCATTGGCCACCAATCTACCACATGAACCGAATCTTTTCCTCAGACCGAAAAATCTTCATTGCAAACCACTCAACCTTCTCAACTATCCACAGAATATAAGCCACAAGTGCTTTCCAAACCGTTTATCCCCTACCCTCTCTTTCTGAGCTTAAAGCAAGGTTTTATGACCTCCTGGTCCACGCGTGCTCCCAGCGTCAGAGTTCAACAAGTAGGTCTCCATGATGACGTAAGACTTATTTGAATGTTACTTTTCGCGATCGATTTATGGACCGTGAGACTCAACGTTGAAGGACACAAAACTTACAATAAGTGAAAAAAATAATATTTGTATTGCAATAAATATGTAAATAGATTAAAACAGTTGCCGAATTTAAATAGTGTTACGACTGGCATAATAACTAGTGTACTATTCTTCAAGAAATTGTGTTTATCTTTTGCAGAAGAAGCAGCACAGATGTCATCGTCATATATACATACACACACAAACATATATATATCCCAAACACACACATATATATATATATATATATATATATATTTATATATATTTATAATTATATATATATATGTTTAAGGAATCTTAGTTTTAAAAAAAATAAATAAATTTCTCCATTTGCAACGCTGACTCGAATTTTTTTTTTTTTTTTGCCCACAGAGGTTGCAAGACCCACCCTAACGGTAAAAATGTATTCACGCTTAGTAGTCATGTCTCGCATGACAGCATCCATACAAAGAGATGGCATTTCTTCACATGATCTAAATTCACCCAGGATCCACACAAGAGACGGTGTTGCTTCACTTCATTTAAATTCACCAATGTTTTTAGACATTCGATTCTCTCAGCACATACACTTGGTCAACGATGCCTTGCAAGATAATGTTTGTAACACTTGAGCATCGTATAAAAATTAAAGAGTGAATTTTAAATCCCCAAGATTAATCGGCGAGTGGTGTTGCTTAATGTCGAACCAAGGGATCGTTTGCCGTTTCTTAAATGTTAAAAATTGCATTGCGAACCTCGGCAAAGTATCAGGCATTTCGGGGTGGGGTCGGGGTGGTGGGCATAGAATCATAATTGATCCAAGGAGCTGTTGATGCAGAGAAAAAGGCATAAATCTGCTGAATTGATTTTTAAAAAATGTTTGAGCCACAGTGGATTTCGCATCATCCACATTCCAGTTGCGCAGGAAGGCGTTGCGGATGTGGGGGGGGTGGGGGGAGGGGTCCACCAGACGTGTTTCTTCTCTTTATTTGGTGGGGTGTCATTTTGAGCCAAAGGCAGAGCTGTTTGCTTGGTTGTTTTTTATTGGTTGGTTTTTTTGTTGTTTTTTTTTTGGGGGGGGGGAGGGGTGTGTGGGGTTGGTTGGGGAAAGAGGGGTGGCAAAACTTGGCCCACAGTGGGTGACGCTAGCCCTGGTTACGCCACTGTCGCTAACAAGATTTAATGAAAAACCGAAAAAAAAAAGAAAAAAAAATATAGTATGATTGATATCAATGGTTTTTACCTGGACGACAAAATTGTTACCACCACATTATAAATAAGTGGGCCTACCCCAAAGAATGTAATCATCTACCTTAATTTTTAACCTCAAAATATTAATAACTACTAATAAAATTTCATATTTGCAAAATATAGATTCTATCAGCGTACTTAAAAAAATTATTCCTATTTTATTAAAAATATATATATATATTTAAAAATTCTTAAATTGCCGTGGTATTTGTAAATAAGGAAAATCTCACTAAAAAATACGGAGACGTTCTTTAAACAGCGCTATTCAAAAGGTTTTAGTTCTCAATTATCCTTTTCTTGACACAGGTAAGTTAGGGATGGAATGAAGACAGCGTTGATTAGCTTGGTTTTTGTCTCATCTTTATTCTTAGATGCGGGGCTATTTGGTAGCTGACCGTATTTGCTAGCTGACGGTATATGGTAGCTGACCGTATTTGGTAGTTGGCCGTATTTGATAGCTGACCGTATTTGGTAGTTGGCCGTATTTGATAGCTGACCGTATTTGGTAGTTGGCCGTATTTGATAGCTGACCTTATTTAATAGCTTATCGTATTTGATAGCTGACCTTGTTTGAGAGCTGACCGTATTTTGGAGCTGACCGTATTTGATATCCGACACTATTTGGGAGCTGACAGTATTTGGTAGCTGACCGTATTTGGTAGCTGACCGTATTTGGTAGCTGTCCGTATTTGGTAGGTGACCGTCTTTGGGAGCTGAAAGTTTTGATAGCTTACCGTATTTTGTAGGTGACCGTATTTCGGAGCTGACCGTATTTGGGAGCTGATCGTATTTGGTAGCTGACCGTATTTGGGAGCTGACCGTATTTGGGAGCTGACCGTATTTGGGAGCTGACCCTATTTACCAGCTGCACTCGTGTCCCTATCTTTTCGGTCCTCTGTGAAAACGCTTACACATATTTAAATTCCTAGTTTAAAGGGAGCAGCTGTCCACTGATTGTTAAAAGTTCAGGTTTTATTATTTACATTTATTATTTTTTTAATTATTTTTTTTTTTTGGGTTTTTTTTTTTTTTTTTTTTTTTTTTTTTTTTTTTTTTTTTTTTGGGGGGGGGGGGGCTCTTACGACCCACTGAAATAGTTTCGGACTTTTACATAATTTCATAACGTTCGTTGTTAATGTTCAGGAAATCAACAGGAAAATATTTTGAATTTTTAACAAAATATGATTAATAAATTAATATTGTAGCAAATTTTGGATGATGGAAACTGCCGTTTTTTCCTGTTTAAAAAAAACAACAACCCAATAAACCACACTAGAAGGAACCACAGGCATTTTGGGGAATTTCCTTTTTTTCTAGGGAACTTGACCGTATCAGCCTGAATGTTGTATATTTTTTTAACATTCCAGATTGAATCGTGAAAAATAGATATTATAAG